TCTTTTCCCCATATTTCCTGTCTCCCTCCACTTCCAACTATAATAAAGGCTAAAAATGCCTAAGAAAAAATATTTCAAAAAAGATAGGTATGCTGTATATTTTAAATATGGCACAGTTGCTGCTCGGTGTATACTAATCCTTCCTGTGTCCTAGTATTATTCAAGTGACCTAACAACTAAAAGGTGTCCACTGACCTGTCAGCTTGGTGTAGGCCTCCATGTCATTTTTGGCTGTGGACAGAGTGAACATCTCCCCTCCTGAGCCCTCAATCTGGATGTGCTCATCTGCAGTCGAGAAGGCATCACTGATCCTGGATAAAAAGACACAACATGTTGTCACTTTCAGGAACTTTTTCCTGAATAGTATAGAATAAAGACAACCATGACGCAAACTACACAAACCACATCAGACAGGAGGCAAGACTAAATGCTGCAGAATACTGACATGGAAGGGTAGGTACTTACATAACCTCTATGATCTTGGTTGCTCTGTGCTGATAAGCTTTTCTGTGGAGATAGCTCCTTGTGTGGAACATGTTACACAGATTGTCCAGCTCCTGTTGACAGATTTGCCTATAGTTTAGTTGTTAGTAAACTGATTAATGACTGATGATAATGCATTTCTGGTAAAAACCTGAAAAAAAGCAGCAGCAGCATTGTCAACACCTTGTCTCTAAAACAGATGTGTCTCTCGCTGTTCACCCTGCACACTCTGGCAAACACCAGGCAGCGGCGATAGTCAAAGCCCTGAGGGATGCCCAGGTGGTAGCAGTCCCTGAGATGAGACAGAGTAAGGAAATATGTGAAAATGGACAGTAATACATAGAAATGTATCAGTCATCAAAAACTGAATTGTTGAAACTTAAACCACCTGGCAAGGTAGTCAAACTTGACCACATCAATGCCATTTTTCTCATTTGCCACAATTTCATAGAGGAAGGACTTGTCCTTTGTTCGACCTTTGTATGGCCACTGTAAAGATGACAGGACAATAATGTCATTAGACATTGACTTTTGTAGTAATGATACTACTACATTACTTAGAATCGTGAGACAGGAACTGACCAGTACCGTGCTCTGAGCGACTGCTTGAGTGTCTTCAGGTCCTTGAATCATCTCCTTGATGAATTCCAGGTCCTTTGGCAAGTCTAGTTTGTAGTCCTTCATCACCTTCTCCAAACCATTGCTTTTCACCAGGTGATCAAACATGTCTGCAGAGGCCTTCTTAGACTACAACAGACACTGGTATATTATTATATGAGAATATATATCTTCGCTGTGTCAGTAATAATGCTGGTACAGTCGTCCTCAAATTTATTCATACCCTCCCATTAAAGAAGGGGAAAAAAACAGCTTTCACTAAAATGAGTTGAAACTGACGAAAGTAATAATAAATAAAACTGTAATGAAAATCATGACATTGCTTTTGAACTGAGGTTCAACAGAAATACTAAAAAAACAAAACAACATGACAGTTAATGTTCTCCCTGCTTCTTCATAATACACAATATTTTGCTTTCACGTCCCCTGATGTTACTGAGAATACTGTGGAAAATGCTTTGACTATAAAAGAATCTGTGAGGACACATTCCACAAAGGTTAGCATAAACCAGATCTTGGTAACATTAGTGATAAGTGAAGCTACAGGCGACTTGTTAACACTCCATATTTAATAAACAGACAGATGAGTGTTTTTTGGTTTTTTTTTCATCTATCTCTTGTAGTTAATAGACTAGCTCTCAAAATGTCTGACTGTCCATTTAAGTTTTAAAACTAAGGGGACCTTGACCAATTTCAAACATTCTGATCAGTTTGAGTCATAGTGAACAGAAGAGCAAAGGAGGACGTAGGCTGACTCATCAGGTTTGCTAAATCTGAGGGGGAAAAAAGCCTGATGTTGACAACACATCAAGAGATCTTGACATCTAAACACTGTCATATTATGTCATACTCTATGTCTCAGGCAACCTAAATACTTTGCTTCTTACCTTCCAGTCACAACATTTTTGAGGGAGGAATATTTCCTCAAACACCTTGGAAAAAGGTCCATGTCCTAGATAGGGAGAAATTGATGTTTAGTACATTAAGCACTGATGTATGTGCAATAAAATGAGCCTTTTGTGATTATACCTTACCACACATGCATTTTTTAAAAATTAGACTAGTATCTGTGCTTATCTTTAGTCATACCACGAGGAAAACATTTGAAATGGGTAACATAAAATATCTTTCAGTTTAATGCTTATTTGGAAACCTATGGGAAATTTGAGTTGTTGAGTCCTCAGTTCCCTGAATCTCCAGACAGACATCATGAATGCAAAGTTAGCGTAGCTCATACATCCACAATAACCATATTTATGGACGAAGTAGCGAGTTGAAATTACTTAGAATTTAGTTTTTAAGAGGACAAGAAGGAAAGTATATAGCAATGTACTGCCCAGTGTACATTATTATGTGAAATGTTCAGACATCGTTTTAATTTCTGCCTTTATTATGGACGAGTCTTGAATTGTTAATACCAGCCACAATTCTCCCCATAAGTTTAACTACTGAATAGTTTTATTGTTACGGTTTATCCCATCCAGTCATTAACACCTGTCATTTTTGAAAGTAGAAAGGTACCCAGGTCACTTACCCAGATCATGGCAAAGTCCTGCTATTTGCACACACAGTATGTCCTCAGGAGTGATGTCGAGATCTTCTTGCTTTGTTCTCAGAGCTTGTGCAAGCTGCCCTGCTAAGTACCCCACACTGTCTCACACACACACACACGGAACCAAATACATTTTATGCGACCCACGTTGAACGTTCTGTGTACCTCTGCTCAGGTATATAATCGGTTTACCTTGGCATTATTGTCTACAATAATTATTTACTTCACATCAATCTTCCCCCTATGATGGATTGTGTCTACCTTGTCTGAAAATGTGAACATACCCAATTGAGTGTTCATAGCGGCTGTGGGATGCACCAGGAAAAACATAACCGACCCCTCCAAGGTGCTTGATGTATCGTAGTCTCTGAAACTGAGGCGTATCTATGATCTTGATGAGCAGTGGATGGAATTCCACGTGTCCGTGGACGGGATCATTAAAGACCTGGCAGGCAACAAAATAAAAATTAGACATGCATTGTTCCATTCTTAGCTGACAGGCGTGCCCATAAAGCTAGCAAAACTGCATTTAATACATTTTTCTAATTCATCCAGCCTCTCACATCTCATTTGCTATAGACTGACATGAACTCAACATCATAAAGTAAATATGTACAATCTTAATTTTAAGGATGTATAGGTTAATTCAGTGGCAGTGTTATTACCTTGCCTTGTACTGTGGTTTTCCAGCATTCCCGGATTAAGCAGAGGATTTCCTCTGCCAACTTTTTACTTGATAAAATGACAAAATACAGAAGAGAATAGTAGAGAATGAGCTGATAAGAGAAGAGTGAGGTGTTAAAGCCTCAAAGAGTCCCAACAGATAGTTGTTGTTACACCAGATTAGTGCTACAACTTTAGAGGGATTCCTTATATCAAGGATCACTACACATTTTAGATGTTGCAGCTTGGATTAAAAAAACTGGGTCACTCACTCAATGCCTAATGAGGCCAGATCGGCAATAGTGGCATCTCGCAGATACACAGCAGTGATGTTGTTTTCTGGGTAGCAGAGAACAGTTAGGATTTCTGAGTTAAAGCAGCTCTCAACAAAGATAAAAACTAATTATCAATCAAAGTCACCAAACCAGAAAACTAACCTTTAAATTTGTCTTCATATTGTTGAATTTCTTTATTATTCTCTTGTAGGTACTGATACGTTTCCTCCACTCCCCAATCCTTGATGTTCTTCTGCTCCATGACAATGCCTCCTTTGGTGTTTTGAAGCTGTCAGAGATCAAGTCTGCCTTTAACTGAAGCTTTCAGTTTTGAGCGCANTAGATGGTTGAACATAAACATCCCAGTGGATCATCAGTTTCTGAAATAGTCAGATCAGCCTGTCTGGCACCAACAACCCATCAAAGTTACTTATATCGCCTCTCTTCCTTATTCTGATGTTCAGTTAGAACTTCAGCAGACCGTCTTGACTGTGTTTCCATGACTAAATGCACTGAGTTGCTGCTATGCGATTGGATGGTTAGAGATTTGTGCTAACGAGCAGTTGAACAGCAGTTGAACATTCATACCTTATGAAGTGGCCGGCAAGTGTATGTCTGTGTTTTAAAACATGCTAAATTGTCCATAAATATATGTGACTTGTTCTGTCAGACTGTCATCAGTATCATTAAATGATGAACTGGTAATGAGTGATAAGTATGCATACTTTGATCAAAATTACTGGAATTATTACAATTGTGAACATAAATGATCTTTGTCACATCTAATAATAAATTCATCAAGTAAAAGTTGTTTCATATATTGTTTGATTTTGATAGTAAGGCTTATCAGTTTATTTATTTGTGAAACACTGCTGATGGATTTGTGACCCTTTTTCCGGTTCTTCTACTTTATTTTTCTGCCTGCCCTGTAGATCAGGTGTTTGAGAGAATACTCCACCCCTGGTCGCCTTCTCCAGAGCTGGAAGAAGCTGGCAAGATTCTGAAGAGGATCATCTCTCGAGACCTGTACAAGTTTGTGGGTGAAACCAAGGTATGCAGTCAGGTCTTCATATGCTTGTGTTACATTAGGCTTGGGATGGTCAGGTCAACAACTGACGACTGAAATGACAATAAAATTATGTTTTTCTATCAGCAATTTCTAGTAATGACAATATGATGATATTAAAATACACACAACTGCCAAACCCTTTATAACAGTACAGTTGTTCTTGGCACTCTATTCGATTTTGGCCATGATAACTAAACTAACTAAACTAAATACTTCATTTAGAATTGTTAAAACCAGCTTTTGAAATTCCGGATTTATACTGTGAAATGTGACCATTTTTAAAATGCTGGTATCTTCTGTACAATTCAAACTTTTTTTTTTTTTTTGCATCCACATCAGTGTTTTCTGGTCATTTCAACAGAGAACGTTGAACACTGTGAAACAACATAAAAATGACCGAATATCTGGGACAGACAGCCAACATAACAAATNGACTTTTATGACAGTATAGTGCTGCGGGTAATGACAGCGATTATGTGAATGTTATTATTCATTTTATGATGTGGAAGTGAACATTTACGAGATGGTCAGTGAAAACAACCATCTTGTGTTGGTTAATGGTTAATGGTTTGGTTAATGATGAACTTAATTCAGGTGTTCTGCATTAGGCTAACTTGAAAATGTATTAGTCATGCCGCATCATGTATTAATGCACCATTTTTTTGCGATGAATTAGTTATGTTGCATTGATTTTCAGTGATACAAGACTTGATATTTGTAAAATGATTTAATCTGAAAATATATTTATTTTGTCACTAGTCTTTTCTGATATCTTTCATTAACTGGACACAGGCTACACAACTGCTGAACATGCGTGGGAGTAGATGCTACATTTTCCCAATGTTCACTAAACAACTCACATGATGGAAATTAAAATTTGAATCTTCAAGATTGAATGTGGGGGCTACTTTTTCTTCTTAACTGACTCAGTTAAGATCTGTCTGCCTGCACTTGAACACTTTTATCATCAGGTGTGTTGGTCTCTCACCTCACTACCCACCTTGCCACCTTGCAGCCCTCCTTGAAAACATGTTTTACCAAATTTCACCCAATGTAGTATCTGCTCCATAATAAATGTACTGGAAAATCGCAGTACTGGCCTGAATCACGTCCTCCTTGGTGGCTTTTTTGTCAAGGAAGATGTCCATGTACTCATCCATGTCCCCTGCACAAAACATGTGCAGAAAACATATGCAGGGGACATGGATGGGTACATGGACATCTCCAGATGCAAGAAGAATGGGGCCACATGCATCTCGGCCTGTGGAATCTGTACACATGCAGAAACTGCAGTCATGATGCTTTGAGTCTGAAGAAGACATAGACAATGACTCTTGAAGCTTCTGACATTGTGAACAAGAAATATCGCTGAGTATTATACACTGCTCAAAAAAAGTAAAGAGAACACCTAAGCAACACAATGTAACTTAAAGTCAATCACACTTCTGTAAAATCAACCTGTCCAGTTAGGAAGTAACACTGATTGTCAATCAGTTCCACCTGCTGTTGTACAAATGTAGCAGACAACAGGTGGAAATGAGAGGCAGTTAGCAAGACAACCCCTATAAAGGAGTGGTTCTGTAGGTGGTGACCACAGACCATATCTCTGTTCTCAGCCCAGCACCATGCAGGGCGATTGGCATTTGCCAGAGAACACCAAGATTGGCAGATTCACCATTGGCGCCCTGTGTTCTTCACAGATGAGAGCAGGTTCACACTGAACACATGTGACAGACGAGACAGAGTCTGGAGACGCCGTGGAGAACATTCTGCTGCCTGCAACATCCTGTAGCATGACCAATTTGGTGGTGGTTCAGTAATGGTGTGGGAAGGCACTTCTTTGGAGGGCCGCACAGCCCTCCATGGGCTAGCCAGAGGTACCCTGACTGCCATTAGGTCCTGGGATGAGATCCTCAGACCCACTGTGAGACCATATGCTGGTGCAGTGGGCCCTGGGTTCCTTCTGATGCATGACAACGCTCTGCCTCATGTGGCTGAAGTGTGTCAGCAGTTCCTGCATGATGAAGGCATTGATGCTATGGACTGTCCGGCCCGTTCCCCAGACCTGAATCCAGTTGAGCACATCTGGGACATCATGTCTTGTTCCACCCACCAACGCCACGTTGCACCACAGACTGTCCAGGAGTTGATGATGCTTTAATCCAGGCCTGGGAGGCAATCCCTCAGGAGAACATCCACTGCCTCATCAGGAGCACACACAGGCGTTGTAGGGAGGTCATACAGGCACCTGGAGGACACACACACTACTGAGCCTCATGACTTGACTTGTGTTGAGGAATTTCCACTGAAGTTGAATCAGTCTGTAATGTGATTTTCCACTTTTGTTTTGAGTATGATTCCAAATCCAGACCTCCATGGGATAACAATTTAGATTTACATTGACAATTTGTATGTTGTTTTGTTCGCAACGCATTCCACTATGTAATGAATAAAGTTTTTCAACTGGAGTATTTCATTCATTGAGATCTAGGATGTGTTATTTTAGGGTTGCCTTCATTTTTTGGAGCAGTGTATAAGTATGTGAAATAAAAGCTACTATGAATGTAAAAGTGAGTGTGGCCTTTTTCAACTATGGAGTGCTGGAGGTGAAATATAAATACTAACAATCAACTCAGAATCATGAAAAAACTCTGATTTGACCCCTCATAAGTTCCTTAAAAAACATGTTATCAATACAAAATATGAACTTTGTAATTTTAAATAAGTCATTTATTGCTTTCATGATTATACTATATAGCACAAATTTACACAAATTAAACAGCTCAAGTATCTTGTGTTTTGCTAATTGTGTGAAAATTATATTATTGTACATTGGGTGTTTTAATGACAATCCACCGAAGCTTAATAGGACATTTCAGCTCTTTTCCTGGTTAGATGGTTTGCTGTCTGATAGTGCCTGGTCTGTTTGAAATAAAGTTCTTTTGCACTTGGTCGTGTGTCATTGAAGAGTTAATCTTATCCAACATCAGAGAGAGTTATGACACACTGATAAATGAAATGAAAAATACTTTATTTATCCCAGAAGGGAAATTCAATCTTGTAAAAGCTCACTTTTTTTTTTTTTTTATATCAATATAACATATATTTTATACAACAATAATAATAATCATTCAGTCAGTCAATTGTCAGTCAGTCAGATTTGTTTTTTAAGGTGATAGCTGTTGGCAGGAATGACTTTCTGTATCTCTCCGTTCGACAGCAAAGCTGACGCAGCCTCCCACTAAACACATCTGCTCCAACCCTCAAGACCCATGATA